TATCAGATTTTTCCTGTGAGCGACTCGTGCGCTCAAAAAAACCTTTTCGTACTCTTGGAATCCATTCTCAGAAAAGTCAGATGGCAAAAAGTAGATGAGGGTGAGAAAAAGGAAATGAGAGGAAGCGGATGCATGAAAAGCAGAGAGAGAGAGAGAGAGAGAGAGAGAAAGGAGAAAGAAGGGTCAGGAAAAGACTTGATAGAAAGAGTGAAATAAGGAGTGAAAAAGCGAGCAGAAAAGAAAGACATTGAGTGGGAGGAGCTCTACAAAGAGAATAAAGAGAATTCCGTGCTTGTTTTAGATCGGATAGGTTGCGTGTGAGAGAGACATGAAATATTTACATGAAATAATGCCACTCAAAACTCGAGAGAGACTTTTCCACAGTGTGTTTATTTCTGGTCAAATTTTAATTAGAAATAACCGCAATGGGACAACTTTTCTTACATGTCATGAAATGGTTGCCATTATCAATATGTAAATTTTAAATAAAACAGTATGTAATTTTATGTGGAAAACCATTTATTTTATTTGATGAAGTCATTTATAAATACCTACAGTTTCTCATATTTCACTTGGATAATTTTAGATAATGCAAATTATTTTCATTCTATAATAACAATAATAGTAATTCCAATATAGATATATACATTAAGCAAAAAGAGTTTTAAAATTTATGAAAAATGATTTTCCTTTTTTTTTTTTTGCATAATGAATTCGAAAAAATATTCATTTGCATGTCTTGAGTAAATTATATACATTTCTCGTATACTCATTTTGTCGGATTATTTTCTTTCTGTAATTTATTCATAAATGAATATAATATCCGAAGAATTTGTTGAAAATGTTAACTTTGGCAAATTATCAATTTGTCCTAATTGCAATTTAATTGTCAATAAAGCAAATATGATTTGTGTGTAGCATTCATAATAAGGTTTAAAATTGGAACTATTCAGAATTTCATTTAAATATTCTTATTCGTTGAATTTGAATTCTGCATACTATCAACATAATAGATTCTTTCATCTCAGATTATTACTATTTGAACCATATGTTTAAATTGCAATGAATAAAAATTACGAACTGAAAACTTTTGCACTATTGGAGAATGAGATCAAATGTAGAGTTAAAGAAAAACTTTTAGTTATCAGATTGAAGCGCATTCTTTTTTTAAAAAAAAAGAAAGGAAAAAATGGGCTGTTCTGATATGGGTGTAATTTATCGATAACGAGACCGTTTAAAAGTCCTTTTAGAGTAAACGAGAAGTATTTTTATCTGAATGCTTTTTCCATATCGCCTAGAGAATACCTCGGGTATTTGTAATGACTCACAGTTGATATGAACATACCACAGTATAAGCAGTTCATGGTATCATTTCCTATGCAGCTGCCTTCATCGGAAAAATCTCTTCCCCTCATGGCTTATAAAATGTAGGACTATAGGCAATAATAAACCAAGAGACATATAATACGACCTCGATATCGATTGTATTCGATTTTCGAGTCTACATACATACAACCTGTTTTCAACATTGTCAGCCACGCAATACAGTACCTTCGTGAGTAGAGACACTTTATTAGGTTCTCGGCGTACGTTACGCTCCGGATATTGGCAGTAAAACGGGAAAGCTGCCGAAGTAAATTCGCGTATATAAACTTTTGGCTTTGCATAGCACGTAAAATCTTTAAACGACATATATACTCGCTCGTTCAAATGCCGAACACATCTGTGTGAGGATGCAGGAAACCATCAGCTGAATCGATAATTCAAATAGTTGTAAGTTAATTGGTATTTTTACAGATTCACGAAATGTAGTAAAATAGTAAAACTAATTTTGCGCAAGATATTATATTGTTGTAACTTTGTGTGAAATCTGAGCAGGACATTTGTGAACGGTACTTAAAGCTCGCGTAGTCGATGAAAAATGCATTTGTTTCTCCCGTTTTCATCTAACGAAATGAAAAACGATCGTTTTGCCAAGGTATGATACGTGCAATGCTTTTGAAACTGTTTCACCGATTGTTCTCGTGTGGAAAAGCGACTGGAGAGGAAGTAGGCGAGTGTTCGAATGCACGGTACCTGAGATCCATTACGTTTCGGTTTTCCGCGATGTATCCGACGGAAATTGGAAAAATAAATGAAAATCGATTTTTCTGTCCGCTGCCTAACGTTATCGTCTCTCTCTCTCTCTCTTTCTTTCCATAACCGAATCCCTTTTACCCCATCAACTTTTGCCATTTCTCTCTCCCCAATCTTGTAACTTCCCTAATACACGCGACATCTTGGATTGGGTAAAAAGAATGTAAAGGACGCTTTTACTGGCTACTTTAGAAGCTACTTTGGTCCAATTAAAATACGCTAACGTCGTTAATCAATTTTAGAGAGCTCTGTGAAGACTAGGTATAGAGGTTTGGAGAGAGAGAGAGTGAGAGAGAATGTTAGCTGAGGAAAAGGGAGGAATTCCTTTCGCCCTTGTCTCTGTAGCATTCTGACGCGAGCCATCTCACCCCCCATTTCCCCCGCTCAGAATTTCTCCCCATTTTCCACCTCAACATCATCCCCCTAGTTTCACCCTAGACTACTTTGAACCGCGTCACCTTAACTTCGACATCAGAGGCAGGCACTGCGATATTATCCGTTCTAGAGTGCTCGAGGAATATTACGTGCGTGGTGTATACCACCCACACACACCCATGGGACACCCTTCCATGGCCACCTATTTACCCAGCCTGCCTTTCGAGTGTACCCACCTCGATGGCGACTGCTAATCGAGTTATCGATCCTTGACTCGTCACCGCGCAAAAGAGAGAGAGCGAATATTAGATTCCAGACAATTTTTAATATCCAAACGGGATCATACGGAAAAGGCAAAACGGATGCGCTTTAAAAAAAAAGCAGCAGCGGTAGCCAAAATAAAATACTTTTGACTTCTCCGCGCTTGTCCGTTATTCCGATCGCCAGAAGCGACTCTGCTTCTGATGAAAAAACTCACTTAATTTACTCGATCCCGATTTTCAAGTAAAAACGTCAAGAGCAATTAGTTTCATTGAAGCTCAGTCAGGCGAAAAAGATGCTTAATTTAATGTACAATTCGAACAAAACAAAGTTATGTCGAGAGAAAATATTTATTTTTAATGCATCTATAGTCTCTGTGAATCGTTTGAAAATTTTAGATTAGAAAGAATTTGCAATTTTAGTTATGTCAAAAAGTTTCTAAATTAAATTTGTATACAAAAGTTTTAATGTATATATATGCAAGGAGTATAACTCAATTTTTTGACTTTTAATGAAATTTTAACTCTATACATACATGCGTATGTTAAATCAAAGCAAAGTTTAATTACTTTTAAATCTAAAAAAAAAATTGCAATTAAAAGTTTACAAATTTGCAGTATGAAATGTTTCTAAAGCACAAAATATACATTGGAAAAAAGTTATGGTGTAATTTCTTAGTTTCTCATCTTCTGGACAACAAATTTAAATGGCATATGTTTTTATTTGAAAGAAAATAAATAATAAATAAATAAATAAGAAAATAATAAGTAAGAAAGTAATATAATAATAGCTACTACTTTGTGCTCCCTGCATATACTTCTGCCATCTAACGGCGACAGTATGTAATAAAGCTGTCATTATATTACTTTTCTACTTTTCGTTTTGCAATCGCGTTTTTGTATGAATTTGCACAATTTTTTGGATTTAGAAAATTTATAAGATAAGGATCCTTGGTATTTTGGCTGATTTTGTAAAAAGTGTTCGTGTTTCTAGAAAAAAGTATTTTTAAGTATTTTATTTTTTATTTTCTAATTACAATTTTTTAAACCCAAAAAAATTCTAAATTATTATGCGAATATTAAAAAAGAGATTTTCGAAAAATATTTGTTGTTTACGAGCACTATACAAAAAAGATTTGCGCATGGAAAAATATAGATGAACAGAAAGTAAGAATGATACGGTTCGCTGGATACAGACTGATTTCAATATCTACCTTCAGAAAATCGGATACACGATGTAAATCCGGTGTTGTCTACGGCTCTCGAGTTTCCCCGCATATAGTAATATATATATATATACATATACCTGCGCACACAGATAATTCAGTCGTTTCACGAGCGAAAAAGAGCTTCAAGAATTGCCAGTATTGTATTCAAGAAGGGTAGATATCACGGATAGATCCGCGCCTATATATAAATGTCAAGAGCAAGATACGTGTGTACATTGATCGTACATAGATTTGTTCGTAGCACGTTTCGCGAAAAGAAGCAAACCAGAAGAATTGAAGTGAGGGGGTACGGGGTAAGGCGGGGGGGGGGGAAGGGGGATACCAAAGAAAATTCCAATATAGTTGAAACTCCCCTGGCCGTGCACAGAATGCATTCGGGCTTTGATTGTGCCTTGGAAGCATATTTTCCTCCGTACTTCCGATATTGCTGCACACACCATGTTCTTCTTTTTCTTCATCTTCTTGCAACTGCGTACGAATCTGCCAGTACTTTTCTACTCCATTCCTCGCGCGACACGCCTCGAAATGCATACGATGGAAAAAATGAGTTATTGTACTATATATATATATTTCGTAGTGGAAATTCATTAATCTAGAGTTTAAAATTGCGCATTTTCATCTAAATATTTTCGTTCTAATTTTATTTTTACACTATTTTCATCATAGCCGATCAGACTATATATGTACACCTTTTAATTTTAAATATTCACATCTTTGGATTCGTTGATGTCTCTTCCAATATTCGCTAAATTGAGAGCAAAGTTATTTTCAATGAATTCCATTTGTTCGAAATGCGTCACCATCAAAGATGAAGGCAATTATGAAGGTGTTCTATATTGAAGATATTTCCGAAAGTTCGGATATTACATTTTAATGGAAAAATTATTTTTTCCCCAAATTGATTTTCTTTAAAAATTTATTGTTCCAAAAATGCGATATTTACGAATTATTAATTAAAGGGAAAAAATAAATTAAATCAATATTATTTTCTCTGTTTCAGGTAATGAATTAAATGAACTCAGTTTAGAAAAATCAATTGGATATTAAAGAATTGAAATACGAATTTAAGAAGCAATCGAGAAGAAAGGAATAAAAAGAAAATAAGAAGAATAAAAAATAATCTGTACTAAATCGAGGAATTCATATTTCTTGGAAGTGTCAACTTGAAAATAGATGATCCAATTCAAATCTGTTCCTGGAGCCGCGAATCGGTGCAGCAGCCTCGTACCCTCAGGGGTACGATAGATTCTTGAAAGAACCCAGCATCAAGATAAAGTCAGTGACGTTGCTGCCACAAAATGAGCAGGAACGGGCCTTGCCGTTAGTGGTGGAAACCGCTGTCACCGTACAAGGGCCTCCCTGGCTGAAAGGGGGCCCCGATTACGGCCCCCCAACGGGCCCAGCAGATGCTCCATTAGACGAGGCATCATTGCGGGCCAGCAGTTCTGATCGAAGAGAATCCCTCGATCCGGATAGTCGGGCCAAAAAGGCCCGTCGATCCTTAAAATATCTACGCGATCGATCAGTGGAGTTTCAAGATAGATATCAGACAAGTGGTAATCTTCCAAAAATTGGAGCGGTAGCTTGTCCAAATAGAAGACGCCATTCTTGTAGGAGACACAAGGATTCGAACAAAAGAACAGTTACAGAGGAATCACGGCGTAAAACAACGGAAAGACCGCGGGAGAATATAGATCAACCGGTAGTGAATGAGTGTTGCGTTTTAGTGAATAGAGAAAATCAAAGTGAACAATCAATTACCGAGAATATTAATTTATGGTCAAATAATCTTTTATGGACGAATAATATAACAAGTGTTGAACCTGTTTTGGTGCATCAGAGTGAATGGATTGTGAGGTGTCCACCTTATCAGGAGGGCAATATCATTGGGCCTAAGCGCCTCGGCAAATTTGCCAATATTATTGACAATTCAAACGAGGCTATTAAGGACGTTAATAAAAAAGTAATGGCAATGGCGAAAGCAATGACACCGACGTGGTCATTGAGACTTCTTGGTGTTAGTTGTGGTTCGGTGGTTTGTGCATGGGGACTACTGCTGATACTGTCAGTTTTGGGTGGCGCGACACACAACACGGGAATTGGAAGCTTTGGTCTTGGCACTTCAGCTGAGGATAATATCAACAGCGCAAGTTGCCCTTGGGCATGTGGCTGCGGGGGACCAAATATCGACTGCTCTTATCGTGGACTCACTCAAGTTCCAGGGGATCTGGCCGCCTTGCTCTCCGCCGAAAAACTGTGAGTTATTTTTTTTTTTTATATTTATATGCATGCAAAAATCACGAAGTAGAATAAGGAACTCTATATGGGAGTGAAATTTTTTTTATTATTTTTCTTTTCGAGTCGTTTTTAGTTAGCGATACTAGCGCTCTTGCGGTAAAACTGTTGCAACTCAGGTGAGAGATGAATTATTACAAATGGCGAACATGGATCTGCGCATGCGTTTTGTGTTTAGCAGACGAAAAAGGTGAAAATTTAGTTGCAATATTCTTCCTTATACTACTTCGCACGTACATAAACTTAGCGAAACAACTTCAAAAACCAAAAGTCTTATATAGACCAAAATTTGCCGCTTTTTAGTCGCTAATTAGTTGTGAAAAAAAAAATTTTGTCGCTCTTCAATTTTTTTTAAAATAGGGTGCTTTGCTAAGTTTACATAAAGTTAGCGAAGCACCCATTCTAACTCCGTTGTTTACAAAGATTCACAAAATTCTTCTTGACAGAAATTTGCCGTTTTTTTGCCGTAACAAGACCAAATAATTCATTTTCCAAAAACCCAAAAAATTAATTAAAAAAATTTAAAAAAAAAAATTTTTTAATTTCAAAAAAAAATTTTTTTAAATTTAAAAATAAAATTAAGAAAAAAATTTTTATACGAACTGTAAATGAATGTAAATTAAACAACTGCAGATGAATCACATAAGTACAGTAAAAAAAATGTAATTCATATAGAAAAAGAAAAACTTATTTGTTAAATTTTACATTAAACTAAATTAAATTATTTCATAAGAATTTAAAATCTATGCAAGAGAAAATACGTAATCATAAATTATAAAAAAAAATTAATCAACTACTCATACGAAGAACTACTCAAGCAAAAAAAAATATTCTTAAAAAAAATTAATTTCATTACCTCATTTCACTTACATATAACTAACTACAAAACTTTCATTAAAAATGTTAATTGTTATTAAAAATCAATTTTTTACTTCATTTTTGACGTTAACTTTTTTAAAACAGTATTTATCAATTTTAATTTGTCACGACAAAATCGAAACCAAATGAAATGATCTTAATAGTCAAAGCGACAAATTCCCCAAGTAAAATTTGAATTAAAAAAGTTAATTGATATTAAAAATCACATTTTCAATTTCGTTTCCGACTTAAAATTTTTTTAATCACTATTTATCAATTTTAATTTGTCACGACAAAATCGAAACCTACTTGAATACACTTAATAGTCAAAGCGACAAATTCCCCAATTAAAATTTTCATTAAAAAATATTAATTGTTATTAAAAATCACATTTTCAATTTCGTTTTCGACTCAAAATATGTTTAATCATTATTGATCAGGTTTAATTTGTCACGACAAAATCGAAACATAATTGAATACACTTAAAAGTCAAAGCGACAAATTCCCCAAGTAAAATTTTCATTATAAAAGATTAATTGTTAATAAAAATCACATTTTCAATTTCGTTTTCGACTTAAAATTTGTTTAATCAATATTTATCAATTCTAATTTGTCACGACAAAATCGAAACCTACTTGAATACACTTAATAGTCAAAGCGACAAATTCCCCAATTAAAATTTTCATTAAGAAAAATTAATTGTTATTAAAAATCACAATTTCAATTTCGTTTTCGACTTAAAATTTTTTTAATTCGTATTTATCAATTTTAATTTGTCACGACAAAATCAAAACCTACTTGAATACACTTAATAGTCAAAGCGACAAATTCCCCAAGTAAAATTTTCATTAAGAAAAATTAATTGTTATTAAAAATCACATTTTCAATTTCGTTTTCGTCTTAAAATTTGATTAATCAATATTTATCAATTCTAATTTGTCACGACAAAATCGAAACCTACTTGAATACACTTAATAGTCAAAGCGACAAATTCCCCAATTAAAATTTTCATTAAAAAATATTAATTGTTATTAAAAATCACATTTTCAATTTCGTTTTCGACTTAAAATTTTTTTAATCACTATTTATCAATTTTAATTTGTCACGACAAAATCGAAAACTACTTGAATACACTTAATAGTCAAAGCGACAAATTCCCCAAGTAAAATTTTCATTAAGAAAAATTAATTGTTATTAAAAATCACATTTTCAATTTCGTTTTCGACTTAAAATTTTTTTAATTCGTATTTATCAATTTTAATTTGTCACGACAAAATCGAAACCTACTTGAATACACTTAATAGTCAAAGCGACAAATTCCCCAAGTAAAATTTTCATTAAGAAAAATTAATTGTTATTAAAAATCACATTTTCAATTTCGTTTTCGTCTTAAAATTTGATTAATCAATATTTATCAATTCTAATTTGTCACGACAAAATCGAAACCTACTTGAATACACTTAATAGTCAAAGCGACAAATTCCCCAAGTAAAATTTTCATTAAGAAAAATTAATTGTTATTAAAAATCACATTTTCAATTTCGTTTTCGTCTTAAAATTTGATTAATCCATATTTATCAATTTTAATTTGTCACGACAAAATCGAAACCTACTTGAATACACTTAATAGTCAAAGCGACAAATTCCCCAATTAAAATTTTCATTAAAAAATATTAATTGTTATTAAAAATCACATTTTCAATTTCGTTTTCGACTTAAAATTTTTTTAATCACTATTTATCAATTTTAATTTGTCACGACAAAATCGAAAACTACTTGAATACACTTAATAGTCAAAGCGACAAATTCCCCAATTAAAATTTTCATTAAAAAATATTAATTGTTAATAAAAATCACATTTTCAATTTCGATTTCGTCTTAAAATTTGATTAATTCATATTTATCAATTCTAATTTGTCACGACAAAATCGAAACCTACTTGAATACACTTAAAAGTCAAAGCGACAAATTCCCCAAGTAAAATTTTCATAATTCATAATTCATAAAATTTCATTAAGAAAAATTAATTGTTATTAAAAATCACATTTTCAATTTCGTTTTCGTCTTAAAATTTGATTAATCAATATTTATCAATTCTAATTTGTCACGACAAAATCGAAACCTACTTGAATACACTTAATAGTCAAAGCGACAAATTCCCCAATTAAAATTTTCATTAAAAAATATTAATTGTTAATAAAAATCACATTTTCAATTTCGTTTTCGACTTAAAATTTTTTTAATTCGTATTTATCAATTTTAATTTGTCACGACAAAATCGAAACCTACTTGAATACACTTAAAAGTCTAAGCGACAAATTCCCGAAGTAAAATTTTCATTAAAAAAAAATAACAATTAATATTTTTTAATGAAAATTTTACTTGGGGAATTTGTCGCTTAGACTTTTAACCCAGACAGCACATAACATTGCGGCAATGTTGCGGCAATATTGGTGGGCAAGTTTCGCAATATTGCCTTGTAACATTACAGCAATGTTGCCACAACATTAAAATGTCCCACCTTGCTCAATATTGCACAGTAAGCTTGCCACAAGGTTATGTCAAGGTTGCACCACAAGCTTGCAGCAATGTTGCACGGTAACATTGCCACAAGATTGCTCGGCAAGTTTGCATCGTAAGATTGGTGTAAGGTCGAATAGTAAGCTAGCTGCAAACTTGATGCTACAGAAAATTCTCACCGTAGGCCATTAAAATAATTTTTTCTTCCATTAAAAAATAGCTAGATTTAAATGTTTTAATTCCATTTTTTATCCTATCTTTAATTTTTTTTAATTGAACAATTAAGTAAAATAAAATTTAAATTATGGATATTTCCTTTTTTGAAGTGACGTTCAAATATTATATAGCCAAAAAACTGACAATAAATGTAAGAAAAGTGCCTTCGGCGAGAATTTTCTGTAGCATTAAGTTTGCAGCTAGCTTACTATTCGACCTTACATGAATCTTACAGCAAGCTTACGATGCAAACTTGCCGAACAATCTTGCGGCAATGTAACCGTGCAACATTGCAGCAAGCTTGTGGTGCAACTTTGACATAAATTGTGGCAAGCATACTGTGCAATATTGAGCAGGGTGGGACATTTTAATGTTGTGGCAACATTGCTGTAATGTTACACGGCAATATTGCGAAACATGCCCAGCAATATTGCCAAAACATTGCCGCAATGTTATGTGCTGTCTGGGAAGTGTATTCAAGTAGGTTTCGATTTTGTCGTGACAAATTAGAATTGATAAATATGGATTAATCAAATTTTAAGACGAAAACGAAATTGAAAATGTGATTTTTATTAACAATTAATATTTTTTAATGAAAATTTTAATTGGGGAATTTGTCGCTTTGACTATTAAGTGTATTCAAGTAGGTTTCGATTTTGTCGTGACAAATTAAAATTGATAAATACGAATTAAAAAAATTTTAAGTCGAAAACGAAATTGAAAATGTGATTTTTAATAACAATTAATTTTTCTTAATGAAAATTTTACTTGGGGAATTTGTCGCTTTGACTATTAAGTGTATTCAAGTAGTTTTCGATTTTGTCGTGACAAATTAAAATTGATAAATAGTGATTAAAAAAATTTTAAGTCGAAAACGAAATTGAAAATGTGATTTTTAATAACAATTAATTTTTCTTAATGAAAATTTTACTTGGGGAATTTGTCGCTTTGACTATTAAGTGTATTCAAGTAGGTTTCGATTTTGTCGTGACAAATTAGAATTGATAAATATTGATTAATCAAATTTTAAGACGAAAACGAAATTGAAAATGTGATTTTTAATAACAATTAATTTTTCTTAATGAAAATTTTACTTGGGGAATTTGTCGCTTTGACTATTAAGTGTATTCAAGTAGTTTTCGATTTTGTCGTGACAAATTAAAATTGATAAATAGTGATTAAAAAAATTTTAAGTCGAAAACGAAATTGAAAATGTGATTTTTATTAACAATTAATATTTTTTAATGAAAATTTTAATTGGGGAATTTGTCGCTTTGACTATTAAGTGTATTCAAGTAGGTTTCGATTTTGTCGTGACAAATTAGAATTGATAAATATTGATTAAACAAATTTTAAGTCGAAAACGA